TCTTATTGAAGATTGTGTGTTTGATATTGGTTGTGAGTTGTTTTGAGTTGCATATGTTGTTCAACTGTAGGAAAATGATCCTTGCTTTACCAATCCTCGCCTTTACGTCTGCATCTGATCCTTCTTGTTCATCAATGATGCTTCCCATATACGTGAACGATTTCACATCTTCCAGAGTTTCGCCATTAAGTGTGATTGGATTAATGTTCTCCGTGTTACATTTGAGGATTTTGCTTTTATCTTTATGTATGTTATGGCCTACTGATGCAGAGACTGTTGAACCATTGAACTTACATATCAATAATCTAAATGATGTTATTCTTATCATAAAACTTTTATAAAATACAATCGGACAATTTCTCCGATTTCTTCTAATACCCTAATGAAAATTACCTACCTACCTAAATTAAATTCATTTTTACAAAAATTTTTTAAACTAAAATATTACTTTTCTCTTAGATTACTGTACAACCTTTGACCTAAATTGATTTTTTTCTACTTTTTAATTCATGCAAGGGGCATGGTAACATGAAGCAAAAGGAGAAGAAGAAGAAGAAGAAGAAGAAAGTTGACTAACACATTATGTAACAAATCTATATCTCTATTTTATTCACTTCCTGATTGGTTTAAAATATTCTGTAAACACTAAAAAAAAACGACAGGTTGTTTACCTCTTTTATTTTTCTAAATTTTGCATTTATATAACACTGATGATATCACAGTAGTTTCTTTTCCCAACAAATGTATGTAAATCGAAAGTGTAAACTCTCGGCACAACAAGAATATTAAAGGAAAGAAATAAAGAAATACCGAACACGTACATACATACATACATACATACATACATACATACACACATACACACAGGCGCAGGTTAACTTTACTGTAATATGACTCATAATTGCTATATTTTTAATGAATTGTTTATTTTTTTACTACAAACCAATGAATGTAATGTAAGTTGAAAGATTTGTAACGCATTGATTATGGTTGGGGAAAAACAAAGAAAGAAATCAAGCGTAAAGAACAATTCACCATTATTAGTATAGGAAGATTTGTGGAAATTGTACAATATCTGTAGTTTTAACTTAAGTAGATCATCGGGAGAAACTTGAAAGCACTGGATATGTACACTATGGGTCAGTGGCTTAGAGATTTTGTGTTCGCTTGCAAGACTGAAGGTTCTCAGTTTGGATCCTGGATACCGGAGGATTGCATACAAAAAAGAGATCGGAGCTTTCAAGTTTCACTGGTGGTCTAACTAACATCAACCTTTAGTTTATACTATGAAAATCAAACACTAGTTAAATGAAGTTTTGGAGTTCGTGAATGTGTACAAATTAGTAGTTCCATACTAAAACAAAATAATTGTGTATGGCTTTCCGATTTTCAGTGTTTTTTACGTAGATTTTGCCGGAGATGTAAACCATAGAATTCAACGATTTCCACAAAACTCTTTGCCTTCAATTGATGTGATTTAAGCGTTAGTCCGTGAGACCGAATGCTCTAGGTTCGAGTCCCACGCACAGGATCGTGGATGCGCACTATTGAGGAGTCTTACACTTGGACGAAAGTGCCGTCCAGGGCTCCAGTGTTTTCATTGGTGGTCTAACATACATCCATTCGTGATATCAATTAAAAACCAACCATCTTCACGACCCTATACTGATAGTTATAAGAAAAAAATTTGCTTTAGTCGTAGTGTAATTTGAAATAATGACTCTTTTCTTTTCAAGTTACCGTCTAAAATAACCCTACTTATTAAGATATAAGTTATAAAATAGTATACATTGACTTATTCTTCTCATTTTAAGATTTATAGTTTGAATGCTTACACAGGTTATATTGAACAGGGCTAGTTGAGCATTGATTGATTCACGGTTATTCATTTTCTTAATTTGTTTATTTATTATATGTAACTGATATAATAACTCAGGGTCATATTATTCCCGTTAAATATCATATAAACAACGAATAAATCTAATTACATAACATTAATAATAGTATTCATTGATATATTCTGTCTTATGAAATGTACTTAGTCGATAGTTAGGACTTGGTCATGGCTATAAAACATTAGTTCAGTCGGTTTTTTGCATTCCATCATGTTAACTTATTGTATAAATATTATTGAATTTAAAGCTAAATTATTATTACAAAATTATAATAATTTTACTGAAACCATCAAGTTAGATGTTTAAGAAGTCTAAGCATTGATTGCGAAAGCTGAAGGTTCAGAATTCTGTTCTTATTAAGTTCATGTTATGTACTATTAAAGTCCTATACTAGGATGAAACAGATATCAAGTAATCTATAGCTTTTATTGATACTCTATATGATGTTCATCTATGATTAACTTTTCTCCAAAATACCCGGGTACGGCCGAGAATGGTGAGAGATAGTTCTCCCTCTCGAAATGCTCTCACATGGCCACGTGCATACAGCCACTACCAGAGAAGTCTTACTCACTGCCTTCTCGCCGCACGGATGTTATTTACGAAATCGAGAGGAAGAAAAGAGAATGTCCGGCACTTTAACCGGGTTGATGGACACGGAGAGACCACCTACGGGGAGTTGGAAAACCCTGATTTCAAACCACTGGTCCACATGGGCTCCAGAATCCTGAGGGAAAAAAAGGTGTATGCACCAATTATCGGTCACCGGCTACCATCAGACTCCATCTCTCAACGTTTCTAGACTGCCTTGTGGATCAGACTTTCAGGTCGAAGGCCCCGTGTATGGCTCCCTAAGAAAACCATCTGCTTTGGTCTAGGCACCCGGACAGTATCCCAGTCTTCACACATATCAAATAATTTATGTGGCGCATATCTATTTGGTGCCTCCTTGTACAAATATTTATGTGTTTAAATAATAAAAAAATTATTATTATTAACTTTCACAAATATCATTAATCCAGTTATAATACTGTGCATACTAGATGCTGGTTTTGTGTGGTATCTACGAAATTCTAATGGGTGGTTATGACCAGTAGATTTCACTCATATGAGTGACGTTTCGATGTTTTTAGTATAAATCAATTACTACAAAGTCCTAGCGTCCCATATTTTTTTCTTATCATCTTTAAACACCACTATTAAAGAATTATACATTAAGGCATGAATATTATCCAATATATATCTGTATTTAACGATTATATAGTTTTATTCAGTCTCTGATGTTATTCATGAGTAAATAGATTGAAGTTTCAGTTTGAACATAAACACTGAGATGCAGGTATATCTACCTGCCCATTCCTAAATGGAATAAATTGTGCCTTGTCGATTCCATTCCCAATCACATATCAAATTTACTAAAACTTGTTGCATAATGTTTTATGCAGCTAATTCGCATAGAATAGATAATATAACAAAAGAAACTGATTAACTTTAAAGAAATTACAAACCCTTATGAATATCTTTCTACATTTTGAACAAGTTAACAACTATTTAAATTCAATTACTTAGTGAATAATGCGTTACATCTTTGAAGTTAAAGATATTAGGTTTAGGTTCGATTGTGAATATCAACACTGAACTGTAACAGGTATATTTAATTAATACATCCAAAATAAGACGAAAAACCCACGTCCTAAACTCCACCGGTAACTACGTTATTAAATATGTTGTGATATACTTATCCGAAATTTATTGTTAGCATTATATGAATTGAAATCAGACACAAATTTCATCATTATTAACAATATCATTACTATCAATAATATCAGCAACAAGAACCGATTGACAGACGCATAGATGAATGTACACACACACACACACACGAAAAAACACAGACATATCTACACTAGACATAAGGAATTTATGTTTATTTTAGATAAAATAGTAATAATAATACACATTATTATTATTATTATTATCAAAATTTTAGGTGTAAAACATGTGAATCTGTTAATGTGTGTGTATGTGTGTAGTAGTAGAAGACAGGATTAGAAGAAAAGAATGGCATACGTGAAAATAAAAAGCACCAAGAAAAACAAGGAGAGAAGGAAAGAATATGTGAAAATACAAGTAGAGAAAATAATAATAATAATAACAGAAAGATGAAGCCAGAAATAGAAACCACATTCTATTCGACTAGCTAATCTTCATCATCATCATCATCATCATTGTCGTTAGAATTTTGACTGTTATTGTTGGTATTTTAAAAGAAAAAAAATAGTCAAGACGGTGGAAGAGAATGTTGATTAGACAATAAGAGGGGAATATTTAAATAATAACAAGAAATAACTTGTAGGGGAAAACAAGAATTCAAACGACAACAACAACAACAAAAAAGAAAACAATGCTAAATTTCCAAAGTCTACAATTATTGATATTATTTAAACAATAATTGTACGAGTATTGTATATCATAGTCAACAACATTCCCCTATCACCAATAAATAATGAACTTTAACGTAAGGTGGGAGGGAATTATTGAAGATTGTTGAATTTTGTAGTTCTACATTACAGACTAATTTTAGATGAACAACTGTTGAAAATGAGGAAATACTGGGACCCTTTGTTAACATGTATCCATGATCCTATCAGGCATTAAATAGAGGATCAAGGATCTCATGGCGAGTACATAACCTTTAGACCATCGAGTATCGGTAAATAGTGGTTTATATGCCTAATTCTAGTTAATAACTACTAGTGGGTAGTTGACTTGTCCTCAACACATTTGAATATCACTAATCAACGCTTCTCATTCTAAATTCGATAGTTACCTTTCGAAATTAGCTACTAATGAGCAGAGGTTTATTATTAGTTTAAAAGGATCGTAGAAATTGTTGAAATCAGAATAACATTAGTTGGGCAAACATAAAAAATTGGAAAGTACTAAATCGTTGTTTCGTTCTAATATGAAACACTTTGTCAGTGTGCATCAATAACCTAACCAGGAATCTAACCTTAAGTGTTAAAATCTTGCCCCCCCCCCCATTATTAGAACTATCAATTGTGTCACTTTTTTAAATAAAACATTCATAATAAAAATTCTCACCTTGTCACAATTTGATTGCATACAATGATAATGTGTTTGACGTCCATTATGTGGACAAGAAATAATGGTACAATCATCACATGGACTATAACGCATAAATCCATATTGCATACTTTCTTCACGTTTTCTATGCCATTTAGCATGTCTTATCATTTCTTCACGTCGTAGAATAATCTAAAGTATTTTTTTATTATTATACAGAGTAAAGATCAGATGTTGTTATTAAACATTTTTAAAATAATAATAATTTAATAATTTAATTGGTATCCTTAAGGGTACCACTAGAAATTAAGAAGCATGAAACATATGATCTGTTTTAGTATAGGACTCCTTAGCAATAGGTTGTCATGAACACACTAAAAATCGATTCCGCGACTATCAGGATTTGTAGCAAACTCAATATCTTTAGACTACTAAGTTGAAATCTAGGGATTAATATTCATTCAATTCATGATCTAGTTCGGTCGTTATTTGGATTCATTGATAGTTAATTTGATCATTGTCAAAATGGTTGAATTTTAAAAGGTCACAACTTTTCATTATAATCTATGGAACAAAGCTGGATTCCATCTCCTGATTCGTATGTCATTCTACTTTAATTTAGAGGTTAATCTAACTTGTTGATAGCTTTTTTCTTCATAGACTAACATCGTTTGAAAAAATTGACAGCTATCCTACAAAGGGAAGGAAGTTGAGTAGTTTTGAGATAAACAAGTGTAAATATGCTTAAAACTCATGACTACAAGTCGAAACTGCTTAATACATATTCAATCTGAAGTCATAAACAAATTTATATTAGAAAAGTATGGTACTGCTATCTATTTTCATTACGAAAAAATATGCGAATCAATGTTAAAAGTAACCTAAAAGTCCAATTCACGAGTCGATTAAAGCTAGATCATCATGGAAAACATGGAAGCACTCAACGGCCATTTCATTTTATAACGGGACTCCTCAGCAGCGCGCATCCACGATCCCACACATCGCACTAAATTCCTAGACCTTAGGTCTAGCGCACGAAAGCCTAATCTCTAATCAACGGAATCATCATCCAACAACGCGAATGTCTAACTTTAACCAATCCAAGAAATTTTGTCACTGTCCACCATTGCCTTCAGTGAGTTACTAACTCAATAATGGTCTAGCTTTAATCGACACATGAACTCAACTAGTAAATTACTAGAATCTCCACCAAACCCACTTTCTGATATTAAAACTAACTATTAAATTTACCTTATTACATATACTACAATGATAATGTTCTCTCAGTTTAGATGATCGACATACATCAAAACCACATTCATCATTTGAGCAGTATTTTTTAATGGATTCAACTAGATTTGGTATAGAATGTATATCAGATTCTGTTAACCATAATGAAGTTGTTTTTAAGTCTAATTGTTCCGTGTCAGATGAATCTGAAATAGAAAACATAATATATGAAAATAAGTATTTTTAAAGCATTAAACGAAAATTAGTGGAGTAACTGTTAGAAGTATGTAAGTGGATAACACGATGACGTTTGAAGCGAATGGTACTGGGTTTGAGTCCCATAGTGAACATCAACATTCAGCTGACGAGTCCCGAATAGGACGAAATGCGCGTCCTGAATTCCAATACTAGTCACTATCCATCTTTGCTTGTAATGCTTGTGAATTAAGACAATATCAAGGCAATACGCATAGCATGCATAAATGCCAATAAGAGACTGATCAATTGCAGTTCTAAATAATAATGGAACGATTCAAGTAAACAATACCAAGTGAATTTAATTCCCTTATTTGTTTCAGGGGAGAATAACATAATTCAGAAGTTTAGACAATTAACTGAATTAAACTAAATAAAAATAGAATATTAATACAATAGAATTGTGTAGATTGTTGAATATTTAAGTTGTAACATAAACTTGTAAAAGCAAAGATGATAAGAAAAATACTTTTGAAGTCTTCCACACGATGAAGAATAGGTTTGATTGTTTGAATGTTCACAAAAGTTAGTTGTAACCTAACAATCGATTATAATTTTATGTACTTGGAGATAAGGTACACTTGTTTTATGAGGGGATGTTTACATCGAAGACGATGCGAAGAGAATTTTCTATGATGTTGTTACGTTCTGAGGTCATTTGAGTCTGCTACTTGTACATTCTCTTCTTATACACAAGTTAAATTTACTACTTGAGTGAGGAATCTTAGAATCATTAGGAAGCTTTTATTGACAAGCCAGAAAGAAAAAAATATGCATATACTCATTTAGAAATAAAGGTTTACGCCCCTTAAATAAACTGTTACAATTTTAACTAATAGAATATAGATGTCACCTCAGAAAGTTAAGCAAAATCTTGACCAATATCATGTACTCATCAGCATCTCTTGCTTATATTTGATTGGCTCAGGTTAACAGGTATCTAATGATTGAAAATAAATAACACGCTAAACCATAAGCTTTAATGATCTATTCTTTTTTAGAGATAAATTTAGAATGAATCCAAATATACAAGCTCGAACACGGTTCATGAGAATGTTTCAATACCGGATATTTGTCTATAGAAAGTCAGGCAGTAAAATTGTTATGAGCGGTGTCCGAAATGCTACGCGCTAACTCCCCCCCCCCAAAAACCAACTACTTGAGCGATAACACAAAAGTGAACTAGAAAGTATATTGTTCTATCGAATAAAATGCACAAATACTCATTCATTTATATACTACTGTAATCCTTAAGAAATCGATCCATTTCTTGGGCAATGAAACGCCTTTATCCTTTAGGTCACTCCTGATTTCCATCGACTGATCTCATTAAACTACTTTTGATTGGCTCTCCATATCAAAAATATGTTATTATATTATCAGACTCCTTCATTTATACTTAATTTCAAACATTTGTATTGTACACTTACTCCATTCTATTCTTATATTATCAACCCTTTAAAATTATGTAACAAATAACTCTGAGATTCTTAATTGTTTCCCGAATTATAAATCATTTTGTTGTTTACATTAAACTCTTGACACTTAACTTCTACATATAAGAATGAGCCAAAAGTGATATTAAATTGATCTTATAAACTTGATGATGATTTTCAATCAAAATGTAATGAAACCTATTGGAATATAATCGTTTCAGGTGATTTATTTGTTAGACAAGGTTCATTGATAATGTTCTTATATAAACATTGTGGAAATATCGCCACACAACATAATCTGATTACATGCATATATATTAAAGCAAAAGGCTTTACTTTCTAACTACGTCCCAGTGTTATAATGTTTCTACGGTAAATCATTCACACTAATCATCTACAGAATCTTCATAAATAAATTCACTGTACAGTACGTGATATGGATTTATAAGATAAGAATGATGTGAGGCCTGTTTGAATATATGGGCTACCTATTCCTGACATCTAGATATTTCAATAAGTTATCTGTTCCTTTTGTTTATTTTAGCAAATCATCATGTATATTAACCTCATAATCTATTTCACACGCATTTATGAAAAGTTTATGACCTTTCTCCGTAAAAGTTGCAAAAAAGTACAACCAGCAACTCTATGGTGGTTGTCAATATAAATTGAAAAGAATGAACGTCATTCAAACGTAGACTGCTGATACAATTTAAATAGAAAAACAATCTGCATTTGACACGTTTAGCACTTTGATTTTCTTTGTAAAAAGAACAAAGGAAACTCAACTTTTGCCCATTATTTTAGACATACTGAATACTATACGAAGACATTTCAAATACTCTGCTTATGAGAGGTAACACATATGTCATAATTATTATTATCATTTTATTGTACTAACCATCATCTATTTCTGCTTTAAATACTTGTGACTTAATAGCAATATCGAGTCAATCCTTACAGGATACACATATGCCAAAGACAGGCTGATCAATTGTAGTTTTCACAATTGATTGATCACTGGGTGGTGACCAATGTCATGCTTGTCTAGTCCTTATTATTAGTGCAGATCGAATGCTATCGACCATGTTGCAATGTGGCCACCAGTCTAGGTGACTCGACACTGCGGGCACTATTGTGAGATTAGATGGTGATTGGAGGTAGTCGACAGGAAACCCTGGACCCGGGTTTCGTGCTACTTGGCACTCGTCAGCAAGGTGGTAACATCTCTGACTGTGAAGCTGGGTGACACGGGATCGAATCCGCCAGGGAGCACCAGTTCCCTCAAAGATTACAGGTACACCTTGCTGACGAGTGCCAAGTAGCACGAAACCCGGGTCCAGGGTTTCCTGTCGACTACCTCCAATCACCATCTAATTGTAGTTTTAAACATCAATGCAGAGATTCAAACAACCAATATAAAAATGAGTTAAAATTAACAGACAATCTGTGTTGGGTTGTTGTAAGTAGTTGTAAGGAGAGAGTAGGCTTATGTTTGATGTCACTTGACACTTTTTACCTAAATATATCTGCAATCATGATAGAACTGATGCTCTTCATCAAATCCGAATCCGACTTCACTCAATATCACATTTTGGTGATGTTACAATTAAACAGCTTCTTGCTACGTTATCACTTACTTACTTACTTACTTACCTACTTACACCTGTAACTCCTCGTCGAGCGTAGGGCATTGTTATGTTATATGACCATCATATACTTTAAGAAAAATTCCAATTATTGACTTACCAACACGTTTTGAAGATAGTTCATTATCAAATTCTTTTAATATTGTTTCATCAGGACTAGTACATGTAGAAATTTCATCTTTTTTCATATCATCCCCTTCTTCTCCTTCAATAATATCTTCTTCTGTTAAACATTTATTATTGAATGATTGATGATTTCCATGTAAATAATAATTTGTTGCATAATTCAATATTAATTCAGTTGGATTTATTATCTTATTTATTATAGTTGAGGGATTATTATTAATATTACTATTATTATTAGTATTATTAGTAGTATTATTATTCAATTCATTTTGATGTAAATAAATTGATTTAGTAATCTTTGTAAAAAGTTCTTCTTTTATTTCATTTTGTTCACCTTTTTCATTGATTAATTGATCCGTTATTGATTTTATTGGTGTTAATGTATTTGTACAAGTTAAACATGAAGGTAAATTAAAAATAGTTGGAGTAAGGCCAGGAAATAATAATGTTTGAGCTAAATATATAAGGGAAAAGAATAGCATTAATGATTATTAATATCATTAATTCTAACCAAAAAAAAAAAGAAAAATATCGAAGAAAAAAGAGAAGTCGCAACGGTAACTAACATTTTCGATGTTTAATTAATGTGCTCTATCTAGGAATTTTAGGCACTTTCAAAACGCAATGATGCTCCCTATGGAAGTTAAATCTATAATATCTAGTGTCGAAGTCTAACATGTTATGACATATTTCTTTAGTCTGTAACTGATTCCTCGTAGGACTGAGATATTTATGCTTGATTAATTGCTGATTAGTCCCTAGTACTGTATTTACCTAATCCTGATTAAATTCTATCTATTTTGTGTCTCTTAGATTAGTGGTCACACTAAAACTTAATCGATTAGATGAACATGATAATGGTCACTATCTAGTGATTTATCAGTTGGGGAGATTTTATTCGTTTTAAATTTCATTTATCTTGCTGAACTTCAAACAGTCAACATAATCATATAAAATTAACATTTTGTAATTAGAGATGTATGTGTACGTACTTTGAAAGTTCTACTTATAATTGTCTACATAACTCATATGCAATTTCTTTCCTTAAAAAAATATACTCATCGGTCTAAATAATTATCAGTCAATGAATGAATCTCAATATTTAAAATGTTTTATGTTAGCTAAAACACAATGTTTCATTGATATTTTATCCATCAATAATATTCGCTGTATATTTATTATTACTTAATTGACAGTAACCAATTACTTTGTTGGTAAAATGTTGTGGAGATTGTTGAATTTCATTGAAATCATAAACTGACCACTATTGAAAACCTGAGAACATTGAAAGGTTGTTTCGTCTTAATATAAGGCTCTGTAGTAGTGTACATCGATGACCTCTCAAGTAAGAGAACCTGGGACCTTCAGTCACGTGCAAAAACTCGCAACTTCTAGACCACTGGTCAGACATCCAACAGTGTTAATTTCTAACTTCGGTCGATTCATGACATCACTCAATCATCTTCCAATGTCCCTGGTAGGTGTTCACTTGTGACTAGCTCTTCGACAGGCAGGTTCCGGAATCCTTACAAAAAGCCGTGAACTGTGGAGTTAAACCATATCGGCTGTAAGGCAGTTATCCACCAGAAGCAATGGAAGATGGTTGCACAATTTCATGAACCAATCGAAGTTAAACACCAACACCGTTGCATCTCGACTTAGTGGTCGAGAGATTAAACGTTCACGTGCAATACCTAAGGTCTCAAGTTCGGTTTTAACATGCGGGGTTATGTATACCTATTTCTGGAGAGTCCAATACTAGGATGAAACGGCCGTTCAGTACTTATATGATTTCGATAGTGGTCTAACAAATCAGTTCACGATTTCATTAGATTATTTCGCAATCATTACAATAATTATAAAGGGTGTGTGAAAATTGTTGTGTTCCAAAGTTTACAACAAAAAATCGATTTTGATTAGATCGACCAAATAATGATTAATCGTCTAAGAATTAAACTCTCTACAAGACTTGATGATCCTTCGTCTGGTCCCCAGTGAGGTCGAAGACGCACATTGTGGAGGAGTTCCACGCTAGAACGAAATAACTGTCAAATCCCTTCTGGTTTTCAGCAGTGATCTAAGTAAAATCTGTTCGTGATTTAAAGCTATGAAATTATAGCGTTATTAAAGCCATAAATGAACAACATTTACTGCTGAAATTTGAATATTTGAAGAGGTTAGAATTTGATAGGCACTGAAAGTAAGTTCGAGCAATCCACTTTTAAAGTTAGTTATTATCATTGATTGACTAACATTAATTGTACAATTATTACGAAACTAAAAAAATGTGAATAGCTATTTAGTTGGCAACCAATGGAATGCATTTTCTAACTTAAAATATCATATGTGATATAATGTGAATGTGTAATCCATTTTACTTTTATTGAATAACTACTTAAGTTAAGACTATTAATCCCATAGATTACGATCTTTCCTTAGAATTGTATTACTCTTCAAGTAACGAGAAACTATTTTCCAACGCTTTTTTTTTAAAAATGATTAAGGGTTTAGATCAACCTGTTATTGACATTTAAGACTGAGTTTTGGTCAGTTTTCGTTAGAATTTGTGAATCCCGTGCTGATAGGTGCAATATCATTATTTCGTTATAAGGAATTGAAAATAGATTGCGACCATCAGTGGAATCCAGGACACATGTTTCATTCTATTTGAGACTCCATAATTGGATATACTAGCATCCTGAAGTTGATGTTTACACTTAGATACGAACCTAGTACCTTTCACCTCAAACATCAATGCATTATCCGCCAGTGAGCTATTGAGTCCAGATGCCAATAAATCTCATTACTTCAGTGTTATGAATACTATAGGGGTTTGTACAGACTGCCATTCAACCGTGGTGGATGTGAACCAGTTATCCATTACAGGGAATGAAAGATAATCAAGCAATATCGCGAACTGATTAGAGTTAAACATGTACACCACTGGATGAAGGTTCAGTGGTTCAAAGATTAGGCCTCACCACGAGATATGGAGATACTGAGCCTACTTCTTGGTAAGGAAGTGAATGTGCACTTATCGGAAGTTTCATACTAAGAGTATATTGACCAAAAACGAAAAAATCAATTGTAGAAACAATTATTACGCCCAGCTAGTTGTGTAGTGCCTTCAAGTACTTTTCTTCTCCACAAGACTCTACTGGTTTCACCAACTGGCACAAAGAAGATACAGCCATTTAATGCCTCTTGGTTTACAATATTTGCCTAACTTAGATCAATCTGTGGGGTAAATATTCTTAGGACGATTATTTTCTATGGGTTTTTTTTAACTCTTTCACACAATCCTTACCTATTAACTAAGAGGTACTCGAGTCATAAGTTCAAATAAAAGATCGAATAAGAGGTAGGTTGTTTAAATATGCTGATTAAGACAAGAAAATTCCGGTTGCTTATACTGTTCCATTGTATCTACGTTTGTATATAAATATGAATTGGTAAATATATTTCAGAAGACTATATGTATTTTATATATAATATTATTATTATTTAAACGTATAAACACTGGTACAAGGGGCATCAAATATATATACGCCACATTTAATCGTTCGATTTGTGTGATGGCTGGAATACTGCCCGGTTCCCAAACCGAAGTAGAAAAGTAACAAATTAATTCAAGTTATAATTTTTGCTAGAAAGTGATTTCATCACTGATACTAATCATGATGATGACAATAGCGATGACATAAAAGTCATGAATAAGACTTAAGCTACAATATCATTTGTATATCTTAGAATTGGTTGAGTTCTCTGACCTAGACACTTCGGGTGTTAAACTTTCGTCGTTCTGAACAAAATCATAAGCACAATGTGTTATCTTATAGACATCAATGGAGTTAGGCGACCATGTTAGCATTTATAATGTTAAACGTAAAGTAATAAGTAAGGATGGTAAATCGACTGATGATGTGGTGAACCTTCATCGACTGAGATAATTGGGACATATATTACATATCCTTATCTACCATCTATTTCGACTCACTATAATGCCTAGTTCGGATGTATGCTGGAAGAGATCTAGAGGATGGTCAAACCAAGACGTAACATCAGGCCATGAAGATACCGAATACTGGACTGAACCATGTAGGTAGGTGCAGATTACTTGTTCAGAGCCCGAGTGATTATGTATATTATTGGTATGTAGCAAGTTCAGCCGATGTATATGTGTACCAGGTTCTACATTCCCTATAACTATAATTTCAACTGAGAAATCGTTACAATTGTAGATCACATAAATTCTCGGAATACCAAAGACTTTCCGGATACATGGCATTCAAATCAAACAGTAATCAGTATACATATTGAATTACACCTCATCTATCAAATTATTCGTGGGAAAAAATCAACAACACATTTTGAGGTCAAATGAACAAAACGGTCAACTTGAATTCAAAGAAAATGTATGACAACTGAGTCTACAGCAACCAGTCAGAAACAAGGCCATCAGAACATAACTGATATTTAAGAATCATTGAATAACTAGAAACATTTTTGTTCGTTCCGAGTGTTGAACTTATCTTCAGTACATGGCATGAAACAACATCATTCACAGTGATTTAAATATATTCACTGCTTGTCTTTCCTTAAATCTTGAGTTTTTAAATGATACGTTTTATTCCACTAATCCGATATTTTGTCCTCTAAATAGTATCTTCAATATTCAATTCTTTTGAATATCACTAATATTGTCCTCTCCCTCAAAATATATTCCCAAATGCCCTGGAAAGGCCGAGAGTAAAGAGAGTCAGCTCTCCCTCTCCAAATGCTCTCACATAGCCACGCGTATACGGCCACTATCACGGAAGTCCTACTCACTACATTCTTGCGGCGGGGGGTATTTTTACGAAATTGAGAGCAAGAAAGACAAATGTTCGGCGCTTTAACTGGGTTGGTGAACACGGAGGATCCACCTACGGGAATTAAAAAACCCTCGTTCCAAACCAATAGTGAACATGGGCTCCAGGATCCTAAAGGAACAAATGGTACATGAATTAATCGTTGGTGACTGGCTACAATGAGACCCTATCTCCCAACGTTTCTCTACTGCCTTTTGGATTAGACGTTTAAATGAAAGGCTCCGTGTGTCACCCCTTAAAAAAACCACCTACTTCGGTTTGGGCACTTATGCAGTATCCCAGCCCTCACACAAATCAAATGATTTATGTGGTGGATATCTATTTGGTGCCTCCTTGTACCAATGTTTATGTGTTTAAATAAATAATAAAAATAATCACTTCTACTACTCTTAGGTTTTTCCTATCAGTTTCACCTTGTTGTGCTAATGGTATGTGGAAACATTAATTAATGTACACGTACCAAGTTCTAAATTGCATATGACTAACTGACTACATTCATCTTAAGAAAAAAAGAATTTGAGGTTGTTTTTAACAACGGACTTGAAACTATTAAGTCACTGAGTTCAAATTCATTATCCCATTTTTGATATTCAGAACTGAATTTTAATTTGTTTCTGTTGACAAATGTTTCGTCGTATTTAGGATTACTATATTGGGTGTACTTGCATCCTATTGTTAATGTTTACCCTTGGAATCAAAGCCATTCAGCAATGGGTAGCAATTATAGGACTTTTCAAATCCTAACCAATAATGATACACACTGCATACATGTTAAACAAGTTAGTAGTTATCTGAGGTAATGCATTGGCGTATGAAGTGAAAAGTATCGAGTTTAAGTTTCAATGTCAACATCAACACCATGATTCTGGTCGATCCAATTGACGAGTTCCAAGTAAGGAGTAAAAAGCGTATTGTACAACCCGTCGCTATTTACACTGCAAATTATGTATTTTATTTCACACTTAAAATATTCAAAGTTCCCTTTGTTTAAACCATATAGTTTAACAAAAATGAGGTTAGAAAAAAACTGGCATGGTGATTACATTCAACTCTTATATGAATACAACATCAGAGCTAATAAAAAAAAACATTGGAAATTACTGGGTTAAAATCACATTTAAATTAAAGTTTTCCTTATAAAGATACTTATTAATTAAGGATTATGAATTATGGTATATTGACGATTGGATAATATTAAGGTTTTTTTAAATCCTATGAAAAAAGATAATAGGTCGGTTGCGTATTGCTGAGGAGTTCCACAATAGGACGAAACAACCGTTCAGTGCTTTCAGGTTTTCTATGGTGATCTAGCTTCAACTGGCTCATAACCTCAACTATTGAAATTATTAAAGATCTTCACAGAAACCCCTTTCCGATATTAAATGGTAACTAGTCAATTTTCAAATTTAAATGTAAACAGGTAGTAATTTCTAGAAATATTATCAATTATTAACAAACTATTTTATTTATTTGAACACATAAACATTGATACAAGAGGGCGTCGAATACATATGAGCCACACAAGTCACTTGATTTGTGTGTGGGCTGTGATACTACCCGGGTGCCTAGACCAAAGCAAATGGTTTTCTTACGGGGCCACACACAGAGCCTTTAACCTAAAGGTTTTATCCACAAGATAGAGGTGCAACATTAGGAGATGCAATCCCATGTTAGCCGGTCACCAACAATCCGTTCATACGTCATTAGTTCCTTCAGGATCCTGGAGCTCATGTGCACCATTTGGTTTGGAACAAGGGTTTTCCAGCTCCCCTAGGTGGATCTTCCGTGTTCACTAATGCGGTTAAAGAGCCGGACATTTGCCTTCCTTCCTCTCAATTTCGTAAACAACAGTAATGCCTCGAGGTGGTGAGTAAGACGTCATTGGCAGTGGACGTATACGCGTGACCATGTGAGAGTATTTCGACAGGGAGAGCTAACTCTCCCAACCCTTGGCCGCACCAGGGCATTTAGGGGCAACTATTTTACAGAGAATCGAGAATTTTAAAAATATATACTGATGTTTGAACTTGGCACTATGTATGTTGTTTAAATTCCCTTGAAGAATAAACCGCTCAATACTAAGTGACAAATTTTTTAAAACAACTCATTAGAACTATTGATTCGTGTGATTTGTACAAGAATTTCGATATTTCCGGACAAGGATATCTTATGAAAAATGTAAGTAAAATTAAATCTGAATTTATGGACGTCATTAATAATGAATTTATCGACTTTGCAGTATGAGATGCTTTTAGTTAAACGACTACTGGGAACCGGGAAATATTAAACAGTTCTTTCATCCTAGAATAGGACTCCTCAGTAGTGTACATCCACAGCAACTACTTAGATATTTAGCCAAAGACCTTTAGGCATCACTATTAGTAGGTGTCCCATATTAGAATGAAACAATTGTTAATTATTTTCCGTTTTCCAGTAATTGTCTAAAGAAAATCGATCTGTCATGTAAAACCATCAAAATTCTCATCTAGTTGCCGGAATCTATATCAGTGAAGCGGGACTCGAACCAGTTAAGTAATGGTTGAAAACTTAACTCCTCGGCCACTAAGCTACCCTTTCAATTCAATTGGAATTATATATGGAATCAATTTAGATAAATTAAAATTTTAGTGATGTATGGAGATATTCACACAGTTCACTTCACTTCAGAAGCACGATGGAAGCATCCGAAATAAGCCATATAGCTCACAGAACAAAACGCCACCAAAACAAACTATTTATTCTTTTTATATAATAAAATGTGATACGATGTTAGTAATAATAATAATAATAATAATAATAATAATAATAATAATAATAATAATAGTAACAATAATGGTGGAACTACTTACTAGTAATATTATCGTTCGGTCGAATGTTCAATAATCTATATTATTATTATTATTATTATTATTATTATTATTATTATTATTACTGTCCCTAAGACTATGAGTAGTTGCCAGTACACTAGGAATACCACAATACTTACCAGTATTGATAATATTCGGAGAATCGTAGTGAATAGTTTGTTGTTGACTATGATTATCATTACTACTACTAACATTAGTATTAATATTATTAGTGTCATAATTTAAACTATTTATAAGTGAATCAGTTTGATTGGTGATATTTGTTAAACTAACTGTGTTTCTTTGTTGCTGTTCTTGTTGCGGCATAGTATTATTTGAAAATGAAGACATCAATGAAGTAGATGAATCAGAAGATGAGGAAGATAAAGTGAGTGTAGTAAAGTTATTATTATTATTATTATTATTATTTAATGAATAGTATGAGGATAATGTTGGTGAAGGTGATAAACTCTTTTTGAATGTATTAGTTATATTCAATGAATCATTGGATATACTTTCGTTTAATGTAATATTCGATGTTATACTCAAGTCTAATGCTTGAGTTGGATACATTGAAGTACTAGTATTAGTAGTATTGACATTAGTAGTAGGAGTAGTGATAGGTGTAGTTATACAAGTTGAATAATCATTGTTAATTGAGTTAATTGTATCACTATTAATTGATGCATTCATTGTAATTGGTAGAAAATGATTACTTTGTATTTCATTACATAAACGTTTTAAACATTCAGCTAAACTTCGATGTAGTACAGATTGATGTGTAATTACATCTTGTTCTTCATGGTGTCGTTGTTGTTGAATATTATTATTTGGAATATTAATCCTTTGATCTTCCATAGAATCATCATCATCTTTATTATCATTGTCAATAAGATTCATTTTCTTCAAATTCATTTCATTACACATTGGTATAATCCGTTTATAACCAGTTTTCATTAGTCTTGAATTATGTTGATTAAATTTATTAATATTAACAATAGATGGAATAGATTGTATTGCAAATATTGTATTATGGTCCATTATTATATCATGAATTCATTTTCATTATTAATCAGAATATAATTAGTATTCCCATCAATTATATCACCATTATAATTATTACAGTTTAGTAATATTAGTATGGTATATATAGAGATATATATACTTGGCAGAATATTTATCCCAGTTGTATTTAATCTGTGATTTTAATTTGTCGCCTCTAGCTAATAAGAAAATTATTCTTTGAAAATAATGATATTTTATGTATGTGTATAAAAATTACAATTTACACGCATGGACACACGTGTACGTACAGTACACACTGACAGACAACAAACTGTGTGTCATAAGTTGTTCAAGAACAATTTTTCACCCCTGCACATATATGTATGTTATATGTGTGTGTACTTAAATTGCACATAAGTGTATACATGCGTGCGTATGTATGTGCGTACGTGCAATAGCCTGCACATGGTATCTTTCTCAAGAACATAGACAAAATGTTTTGTTATAACATGTATTTATTATTATTATTCTTATTCTCTCAAATATTGTTTTGATTCTATTGTTCTTAGTTCATGTTTAATTTCTTTTTTTTTTTAGAAAATAATTTTCTTTTTTATCATTTGGATTTTCCTTATCTTTAGTATTTATCCTGGTGTTTGTTTCCTTGAATTTCCTATCTTCTTTCGCTCATTATCTCTCGTTTGATTGTGTTTCTTGATTCATCGTTTGTATGTGTAATAAGTTTGACGTTTTCCAGTTCATACTATAGTGAATATATTTAGAAAATAAGTTCTGGAGCATAAAATTATACCGGTTATAATAATAATAATAAGATTTACGACATAACATTCTTCTATATCCGTAAATAATTGCGATATCTTTTTAATACAGATGTATGTAAAAAGTGAAGTGATTACGTAACTTGACAAGTTTAGATTGTTGAATGTTTCAACTTATGTATGTGTAAATATGTGGGAATATGGTTTATATGAAGGGATGTTAAAGTTATCTTATAACACAATTATATAATCCCCTTATCTCAATTGGTTTGAGATAAGATAAAGACTATGACAATGATTATTCCAATTGATAATACATCAAATTAATATTGTTTTAATTATGAATTTTGATAATCATTGATACATTTACTTGTATATTTACACACACACATACATACATATGGTAGATATGTATGTCTGATGTGTGTCCGTGTACATGTGTTTATCTATGTCAATATCTTTCTGTTTTTTTCTTCATGTATTGTATTATTAAAGTCATAGTGATAATAATAACCAGTATTTTTTTTATGGACATGATATAATTATGATAATAATATTGATGAATGTGACAAGGGAAGTGTGTGTTGTCAAGACAAACATGAATTTATTTGATAATATGGACAGACATATGAACTACAATCCTATTGGCTAATTAAATTATTCAGTATAAATAGACGAAGTGAATGATTATAAGTGTGTGCGTGTGGGGGGGGATCGGTTGCTTTATTACAAAAAAATAAATGCAAAAATAGTTTATCTTGTATTATTTAATTATATTATTATTTACTGTAGGCATTTATCACAATGTATAATTATATTACATAGAAAATTGTGGTATCTTGAAGTAAAATTAAATCGGGTTGTCCATACTGTTTAGGATCATAGAATATATGCATATATACTTAATTACACCTACTACCCCTCTTGGAGGAACATAGGCTGCCCACTAGCATTCTCCATAGAGCTCTGTCATGGACAATCCTTTCCAGTTGTTGGCAAATACTATTCATTCTTTTGATGTCTACCTCCAATTTCCGACATAGTGTTTTCTGATCTGCCTCTTTTCGTTTTGCTTTCAGGATTCCTATTTAGTGCTTGCTTCGTGGTACAGTTTAGTGGTTTCCACAGTGTATATCTTATTCTCCTCCAACGTCTTTTCCTAGTCTCCTCTTCAGTTGGAGTTTGGTATGTTCTCTTCCATAGTATGTTGTTACTGATGTTATCCGTCCAACGAATCCGAAGTATCATGCGTAGACAATTGTTTATAAATACTTGTACATTTTTGATGATGGTTGTGTTAGCTCACTAAGTTTCAACTCCCTACAATAAAAGTGTTTTAAAATTAGTGTTGAAAATTCTGACTTTGATGTTGTCTGTCAATTGTTTTGTCTTCCTTATGTCCTGCAGTTGTAGGAGTGCTGACGTTGCTTTACCAATCCTCGCATTTACGTCTGCATCAGACCCTCCTTGTTCATCGATGGTGCTGACCAGGTACGTAAGAGTTTCTACATCTTCTAGAGTTTCTCCATCAAGTGAGATTGGGTTTGTGTTCTCTGTATTGTATTTGAAGACCTTGGTTTTTCCCTTGTATATGTTCAGGCATACTGCTGATGAGGCTGCTGCTACTCTGGTTGTTTTGAGCTGGATTTATTGGTATGTATGGGATAAAGTGCTAGGTCATCTACAAAGTTCAAATCGTCTAGTTGATTCCGAGTTGTCCATTGTATTCCATGATTCCCCTCAGATGTGAAGGTCTTCATAATCCGAATACATACATATTACACAGTTAAGTAATTGGACTGACTAATGAGCAAGCTTATATTTAATTCTAGGGACGCGATTTACAATTAGTGTTATCAATGAATATCCGTTTTCACGCTTAAGTTTATTGTTGGTAATAAGGGCTGATTTAGATCAATCTTCATTGTTATATTTGCATCCTGACACAGATTGCTTAGAAATTCCTGTTTAGTTACAACTTATAATTAAGCTGAATTGCGAATTGGATTGGAATTAACGGTGCAATGGTGTTCACACTGGGATTTATTTATCCCTTCAAGCACAAGAAACTCGAGTGTATTATCGATATGGGTATCAGCACCGGAGAACAAGAACATCCAATTAACGAGTCTCAAATAGGATGAAAAGTGCTTTATGAACTCTACTACTAACCACATTCTAATCAATATTCGATAATAACTATAACTGTAAAAGTGATTATCATAAAGTTGTCATCCGATTCATTTAAACGATTTGGAAATATAATGACAACTTCTACTAGTGTGTTACGTATGATATCGAGTTGATTGTTACCAAGTGAATGACGGCTGCTTTCATTTTTCATCGATACTATATTAAATACCGACTGTACTGTCGTATTTCCTGGTAAGTCAATTCATTTTTACTGAACATTCCTACGTGCATGGCATTCGACTCAACGCAAAAGAGACGATGAAATTGTTTCATACTTAAACACAGACTATTGTATACTTACTTACTTACGCCTGTTACCCCCAAGCAAGGATAGACTGCCGATCAGCATTCTCCAACCCACTCTCTAATGGGCTTTCCTTTCTAGTTCCATTCAAATGTTGTTCACTCTTCTCATGTCTGTCTCCATTTCTCGACGTAATGTGTTCTTTGGTCCTCCTCTTTTCCTGTGGCCTTGAGAATTCCATGTGAGGGCTTGCCTTGTAACGAAGTTGGATGCTTTCTTCAATGTGTGTCCAGACTATTGTATACAAATTGCTTAAATTTGTGTAACTAATGTTTAGATATCTGTCAACTGATTTGCTCAGATGTGCGCATTATTAGAACACGAACAACCAAATATTGCAACCAAATAGTCAATAACTTCTGTGAGGTGGTCAGGAGAAAACACTGGGCCTTGTTTTTTGTTAACTGGCACTCGTCAGTCAGCCTTACCTGTGATCTCAAGGAAACTAGTGCTTCCTGATAGATTCAAAGCCATATCGTCTGGTTTTACGGTTTGAAACATTACTACTGGACTATTACAACCGCAAATGATTTTCTAAAGTACTGAAATACTAACAATTAATTTTTCACAGAATAGTGAACAACATTTTCTTAATCCTTTGTACCGATAGCAGTCTACTGACCATGGTTAAGCTTTCTCGCCAAATAATTCCAACCAGCGAGTTTTAAAACACAGCAAACAGTTCCGAGTTCTTTCAGACAAGTGGTTACGTCAAAACATGACGGATAGAATACGATCAGTACTAAGGAGACTAAAGTGACCTGCTTGAATATCTGGGCTACCATCTAGATATTTCAACAAGTCACCTGCCTTTTGTTTGTCTTAACACATCATTATTTCAATTAATTGCATAACCTATTCAGGTGAGTTTGTGAAAAGTTTACGACATTTCTCTTTACAAGTTACAAAAACGTACAATCGGAGACATCATAATGATTGGCAATATACATTGAAAAGAATCAATATTATTCAGATGTCGACTTCTGACATGCTAATATCTAACTGGAGATCACTCAATATTTATCGTCAATATTTATCAAGAAATAAGTAAAAGAAACTTGTTGAAATACTTTGTGCTCAAAATTCTATATTGTACCCAAAATATAATAGTGAATAAAGCTAACAATAAATAAAAGAAAGAAAAAAAAATAGATAAACATATCACCAATCAATAATCAGTGATTAAATCAATTTAAATTTATTGTAGATTGTAATGATTTTTAAAATTAATAATGTTGTTATATCTATCTAACTCTTATCAGTGTACAGTTGTGGAGATTATTGAGTTTGTATTGAGGTCATGAACTGATTGGTATCTAACCACAACTAAAAACCTGGAAGCATTGGACAGATGTATTGTCATGGTACGAGACTCCTTAGAGTGAAGATCCAAGGTCCAACATAAAGTTAAACATTAACTCTGTCGAATGCCGAGGACGAAAGTCTTAGGTTCGCCCATAAGATTGGCGATTGTAGTTGCGCACTGCTGCGAAGTCCCGTACTTAGAAGAAACAACCGTTCAGTGCATCCAGGTTTTCAATGGCGGTCTAAAAGTTATCTATTCATGTTCTTAAATAAAAACACCAGCTCTAAGCTGATACCATTTTATTATTGAGCTACAATATAAACTAATTGAAAAGAAGTATTTCATGGCTAATATTCGTTGCTAACGGTAAAACATTAACTAGTTGCTTAAAACAACCCTAAATTTAAGTAGTCATTCAACTAACAAATAAATTTGATAATTTACTCTGTTGAGA